ACTAAAAAGCCTTTAAAAATGTCTACCTACATGTAACCATTCAATTCAGGAAGAAACAGACCTTTAAAGATGAACTGGGGTGTAAAGTACGATTAGCGAATAAAAAAATCCCAGCACACAAAAAGTCATTCTAACAACAAGACCAAAAATTGCATATGCACATAAAAGCAACCTGCCTATTTCATCAGTTGCCTTCCTACGTGTTTAACAAAGGCGTTTTACAGAACATGCTTTCTGAAATAGAAAGCAGTTTAACTCAGCAAAATCCAGAAAACCTTCACAGAAACAGCCCTTCACTAATTATATTCTCCCCACTGGTTTCCATTCTTCAGAATTCCACAAAGGTACACGACTTATAAAGACAAGAAGAAATTATTGTACGAACCATTTTGCAATTTTTACCAGTGGGTGATTTTTGCCATGATTCAGGCTCATTATAGTGTATCCATAGTTGTGCCAATCGATTATCAGTTTGCTTCTCCAGAAAAGGCAGGCTACCCAGGCAACAGCTATAGCAGGTAACCCTGGAGGATTCTGTTTAATAAATAGAACGAATAAAAAATAGCATAAGATCAAGTGACCAACACTATCAGCTACCAAAAAAGAAAATCAAATGATTAAAATTACATGGCTTTAAAGGATCTTAATGAACACAGCCAATTTTGTATCCACCAGCTGCAGAACTGCCAGTTTCTCCTATGAAGATTGGCTGGAACTTCAAATTTTACCGTTGGATGAAGATCTAAATTCCCCTCCAATAAACACATAACATTTCTGTTAAGATTTATTCCTTACTCCTGTCCAGGCCCATGAAGTTTTAAAGCTCAACAATTAACAGGAAGAACAAACCCCCAAGGTTAGGGCCAAATAAATAGTTTGATATAGGTTTATACCATCGCTTAGGCCAGCTGTAATTCTCAAATAATTAGAATAATGTCTGACACTGCTAAAAATGCCCTGTCGTGTAGTACTATTTATTTTTATTAATATTAATCCCAGCACAAAACATACCTGCAGGAGAATATAGGACGGCCGATCTATCGTCAGCATCGTGTACAGTAACTGCACTGCCTGCACGATGACTTTTATGACATACTGGAAAAGCTTCGGACCAACTGCAAAATGACAGAAACCCCTGGTAAGAACGTTACAGCTTCTCCAGGACAGAACCAGCCAGCTCTGCACAGAAAGGTTTAAAAGAACCGTACACTGTAAACACAGAAACCTGGTTTTAGCAAATGTGTCGTCACAAAACACAGAAACCTGGTTTTAGCAAATGTGTCACAATTGCCTACAGGAGAGATAGAGAGGGACTCTTGGTCAGGAAGTGCAGTGACAGGACAAGGGGTAACGGTTTTAAATTGGAAGAGGGGAGATTTAGATTAGATACCAGAAAGAAATTCTTTGGTGTGAGGGTGGTGAGAGCCTGGCCCAGGTTGGCCCGAGAAGCTGTGGCTGCCCCATCCCTGGAGGGGTTGAAGGGCAGGTTGGAGGGGGCTTGGAGCAACCTGGTCTGGTGGGAGGTGTCCCTGCCCAGGGCAGGGGGTGGCACTGGATGATCTTTTAAGGTCCAACTCTAACCATTCTATGACTCTATGAATTCCTACAAATTCCCGTTGTGTGTTTTGCAATAGAAAAATATGGGAGGAGGTATGGATAAACATACCCAGAAGGTAAAAAAAAATAAAATAATGTGCTACTTTTCAAAGAGTCCCTGTTTCAGCCTGCATCAGAACGACATTTACACGCTCAGATAACACAGAGGGAAGTGTTTAAAACGGGCACCGAGGATGCTGAGCCAGCACATCCCCCCCGAGCACCCCCCCCCGCGGCGGGGAGGCCCGAACCCCCTTCGGGTTGTTAATTTTTCCACATAAATCCCGTTTATTTTCCCACATAAAAGGCCGTTTCCCCTGCCCTCCACGGGAACCCACCTCGCAGCCCCCGCAGCTCCGCCACCGCCCCCAGCCGTATCTCCCCGCTCCGCAGCACGTCGCCGTGCGGCCTGCTCTCTGCCGAAGGGAAACACCGATCAGAGGAGCGACCGCCCCGGCCCCAACCGCCGCCCCGCCGCCCCTCGAACCGGGCCCGCCGTCCCCCGTGAGGGTGAGGAAGGAGCCGCCCCTCACTCACGGAGGTAGCCCAGCAGGTCGACGCCGCGTCCGTGCCGGGCCAGCGAGAGCGCGTGGTACTGCATCCGCGGGCTGCGGCCCAGGTCGCCCAGCACCGTCACGCACACCCGCCCCGCACCGCCCGCCGCCACGGCCCGCCGCCGCCACAGCCACAGCACGGCCGCCAGGACGGCCGCCAGCGACACCCCCAGCGCCAGCGCCGCGCCGCCCGCCGCCATCTTGTGGGGTCGGCGGCGGGAAGGGCGCGCGGCGCCCCCTGGCGGCGCCGTCCTCTGAGGAGACTTGTGCGGGGGGAGGAGGGGGGGGTAGCGATGGGCTCCAGGTTAAAAATGGGTTAAAAATCATTTTAAAAATGGGTTGTGGTGGGGAATAGCCGGCACCGGAGAAGGCTCCGAACCTCTGTATTTTCAAATGAGTTTATGGTAGTAGGCAAAATGAACTAACTTTCTTTCTGCAGGGTACGTGAAAGGAGCCCGGGAAGAGCAGCTCCTCAGAACACGAGTCACTTCCTCAGCGTCCCCGAGCTGTCGGATCTGACTGAAAAAGTGACACATTCTCTAGTGTTGTGCCACATCTGGAGTTTTTTACCCTGTGTGCAAAGAGCCGATCCACGCACAGAGGCGAGTTATGTGTTTATTTTGTGTCTGCGCTGTGTGGAAACTCCGCAAAGCCAGCACACCTTGGCCTATACATCGTAAGCTTTTATATTTTATAAAGATATACTAATTAGCATACTATACTCATCATTGGCCACTCATGATTTCACAGTAAGCTCCTACTGGCTACTTGTGTTCTCGCTTCGAATTAAAGGTGTGTAGATTTGTAAATTATTACAGATGCTTAGTGAGCAGGGGTCCATCTAGGATGCTATAGCTTAAGATTTGGAGGTGTGGTTTTCACATTATAACCAGCTAAGTTCACCTAAAGGACACATACCTCTTATTTTCGACACTTTGTAACAACCAGCAAACTTGCAGTTTAATGGAATGCCCCAATTTTCCTGAGTTAGGTTGCTTGTGTCTTTTTGTTATCTACAAGCTGATACAGCACATTTGTTTTCTTTGATCGCCCAAGGTCTTTTCTCCCTTAGCAACATCTTATCTGCTTTGCCTTCATCACTAGCTCAGACTGACCTCAGATATTTCAAAGGTAGAAAATAACTGGTACCTGTGGTGGTGAAAAACAGTTCTTGTATCAAGGTATTTGTATTGCAGTGTTTAGCCTTCGTGTTCTTGACCTATGGAACAAAAAAGGTGCTAAAGATAAGAGAACAGTTTACTTAGAGCGAGGGCAACATAGAATCATAGAATTGTCTGTGCTGGAAGGGACATTTCAGATCACCGAGTCCAACCATCAACCCAGCACTGACAAAAAACATCACTAACCCACGATCCTCAGCACCACGTCTGCCCAGCTTTTCAATACCTCCAGGGATGGTGACTCCAGCACTGCCCTGGGCAGCCTCTTCCAAAGTTTGATAATCCTTTCGGTGAAGAAATTTTTCCTAATATCCATCCTAAACCTCCCCTGGCACAACTTGAGGCCATTTCCTCTTGCCCCACCACTTGTTGCTTGAGAGAATAGACTGACGCCCAGTGTTTTCCTGGCCTTAGTATTTCCTCTTAGTTAAACAAAATCACATGTTCCAGGAATACACAAGTGGGCCTAAGGTTTTGCAAGACATGGGATAAAACACTGATCCCCCTGAAGGCAGTCATTTCACTGACAGAAGCTTCCTTTAAGTTAGTTATAAGAAAGCTCATTGCTTTCTGTATGTTATGTTGCATGGTGCATGTGGTTTCTCAGACCGCTGCAAACTCAGATGGTGGCTGGAGAAGATTGTCACCTGGCAGAAGCTTAAGGGAAGGTGCTTTGGAGCACCCGGTGAGTGAGCCTTACCCCACAGGACTGAGGTGTTGTGATACCTTTACTAAACATCTAAGATACAGGCTGCAAATCAAAGGGCTATTTTATAGCATTTCAGTCAAGTCTTATCAAAAACTCCAGTTTAAAGGCTGCTCCCATCTCTCCACTGGAAGAGCAACAACCATTTATGTTTTTCATGTCCAAAATGTTTCACAAACACTACACAACCTTCAGCACAAAGAACGTGCCTGCTCATATAGACTGGCAGAACCTTAGTCCTTTCATAGCAAGTTTGTCTGTTCCCTCAGCTGTAAGATAAGGCCCTCTCCTCTGCTCCAAGGAAGCAGAAACTTCAGAGAGAGAGGGGTGTTAACAAGAGTCTTCATTGGGAGTGAAACCTCAGCACTGGGGAGCAATTCATTTCCTTAGTTCTTCTTTTTCTGCTCCATGTTAATGATGTTGAAGACAGCTCTGGAGCAGCAGACCAAAAGCAGCTGCTGAGGAGAGCGGAGAGAAGGGAAAAGTTGTTTGCGGGTAAAAATAATTTATGCGTTTGAAGGAGGGTGTATCTTTTAGAAACCTTTGTTCCAGTTACTGCAGAACAACTGTGCATAAATTGTTCAATAATACAAATCAAGAGAGTTGTTTCCAAGGTAATTCTAACTTCCCTTTCTTACATGTAGGAGCAGCTTTCTTGTCTCCCTAAGAATGTTTACAGAAAAAAGGCACCACAAATGCTTGCATGAATAAGAAAAATTATCTTGATTACCCCAAGATTGTTGTCAAGGTAGAATCTTTTTATTAAATGATGGTTTGGAGACAGATCTCACCGCATGAACACAGAATGAGGACTCCAAGCGGTGCCGGTACGGAATAAGCTGCTATAATCAGAGGTCCCGTTGCCAGTGATCATCGGACAAAAGCCGAGCCATTAAATCTAAATAATAATTCAGGAAACAGGTACACGTACAACAACAGCTCGGGGAAGAACTGAAGGGCAGGCCTGAGCTTCTCGGCGTGTGGTCAGGGCAATCAGGTGCAGCACTCCTGCACTTGGGGCTCTGACAAACCCATACTTCAAAATGTAAAATCTATTTGCAGACAACCTGTGAGCAAAGCTGGTTAAATTTCAGGTTTGGCAGCTCAGCCATATTATCATTTTACCATGTATCGACATAGTTTAAAAAAGTAACAGAAAAAGGTGCTCATGAGAGACACAATGGATACAGCATTTGTAAAATAAAACACTTGAACAAAATGCTACATGTTACCTAAGGCAGCCTGTTTAAAGTAGTCAGAGAGCTGATAGTCATTATCATCCACAAAGGAGTCAAATATCCCCCTACATGAACTCTAGAGCAGGATGCCCAGCACTAGGAAATTCAGAAATCTTAAAATTCTTACATTTTCATCTCATGTGGAAACTCCCATATTATTCTATGTGGCTGGCCGTGTTTCTGATGTTTGGAACTACCGAAGTCTCACACATAGAGGTATCAACTGAAGCTATTCATACTCTGATATAAATTCATATCATGAAATAAAATGTTTTTCATTATATAAAGGATAGGCTTTTTCTTCAGTGGCTATTGAAGTAAAGCCTCACAATATCCCTGCTAGGTAAAAACCCAGGATTATGCTTATCTCAACAGCTGGCTATGGTAGAGCACAGAGAGTGTTTTATCCAAGGTGAAATGCTGAGCCCAGGGTCACACACATATCACGGGGCAGAGATGGCTGGAGCAGTTCGATTTTACTATTTTATCTCCACGACTAAACTCTGCTGTATCCTTCCAGATGCCTATGGTTCTTAAATCAGTCCAGCTCTTCACCCACACAAGCCATAACGAGGAGAGCTGACCCTTGCAGACTGTCAGCGGGGAACACCAACGGCACAGAGAGCTCCTTGAGCAATGCTAGTGCTCCTTCCAGAGTGAAATAGGGTTAGAGCTTTTAACTCGCAATCTTGTCTTGCAAAACACGGAGGAGCTCCACCTTGGGAACTAGTTTTTAATTACAGCTCTACCAGACAGTCATCTATAAAGTGGGGTTGTTTTTTTTATGTATCCCAGGGAGTCAGGGATGACTTCAGTGCAGCCCCATTCCCACTGAATGCATACATTTTTCTCTGCCTCAAATTCTACTGAATTCTAAAAAGATCTTCAACTTCACTGGTTCTGAATTAATAACCTGGATATGTCTGTGATATCTCTTAATTTGCTGTCTCAAGTCCCGATCCTACTAGGAAATACCTTCAACATCTGCATTCCACTGGGTTCTATGTATGCAATGAACAATTTTCAGCTGTTTTCTGATGCCCGTTTTCTGGTGGAAATGCAGGTGCCAAGAGCAAATAGAAGCCTCCTGACAGAAACAATTGCCACGTTATCACGCCAAGGCCCTGTGGAAGTAACTGAACCCCAAGGTGAAAAATCATTAAGTCAGAGCCTTGTTCAGGAGTTTAAATCTGGGTTTGCTGCACTGAAGAGGAGTCCAATGAGATGTGTCATGCAGCAGTGACAACACATTGTATTTCTTCACTGCAAATAGGAATAAAGACACAAATAAAGAAGGCTGTTCTGCAGACCCCAATGGCCACCCAGTCTGAATGGTGTGCTGGTATTCTGGTTATGTTGACAAAACCAGATGTTAGAGATATTACATTTCCATGGTAATTCTCTACATTGCCTACCAGCAAGTATGAGGTAACAAGAAAACCATTGTTCCCTCGTAAAGCATATAACTAATTACAAGTGCGGGCAGACTGGTTCAACAAGATAATAAAGCCTGGAATATTTGCTCAAAGATCCTGTTCAGAATGTATCTTTTTCTAACTGGGAAAAAGTCAAAGTCTCTTCAAGGAAAGCCCCTCTGTCACACATACCCCCTGGCAGGGGCAGTCACACACCCACACCGATCTGTAGATCTGTTCTTTCGGGAACCTCTCATTTCTCTCTCTCCTGACAGCGACTTGCTGTGTATCCCTTTAATGTGAAATACAAATTGCTTTTCATATTTACTTCCCCAAGTGGAGTGCAAATACCATGTCCTGTGACGGAACGAGCAACTGACTGATTCCCACAGGGTATCAGGCGTAACACCACAAATTCCCTATATCCGCATTTTCTGACAGGTTATCAAACCACTTAAAATTACTTAAAAGTGTATTAGCTTTATAGATACAGAGGCTTGAGTTTATAAAGGTAAAGTCACAATAAATGTATACAAATTGCTTTTCATATTTACTTCCCCAAGTGGAGTGCAAATACCATGTCCTGTGACGGAACGAGCAACTGACTGATTCCCACAGGGTATCAGGCGTAACACCACAAATTCCCTATATCCGCATTTTCTGACAGGTTATCAAACCACTTAAAATTACTTAAAAGTGTATTAGCTTTATAGATACAGAGGCTTGAGTTTATATATAAAGGTAAAGTCACAATAGGCTTTTGGCCTCTCTAGTCTTCAAAGCACTTAGCCAGAGAATGATAAATACAGCACAGTCATGACTTATCTCTGAAGTTCTTGAAATGGGAATAGAGGCAAATGCATTTAGGAGAAATGTGTTTTGTGAGAAAACATTTCTGCTTGTAAAATTTTTCATATTTATTGAATAACAATTACATTTTTTCAAAAGGCTTTCCCCCCGCTTTTCTTCCTGTGAGATTTCAGAAAGTTTGAAAATGCTGTTTGTGGTTTATTCTAGAAATGGTCTGCTTAAGCTCAGTGAGTCAAAATTCTAGCCCTGGTAATGGTTTCCTACGGCTGTTTGGCTGAAACAGCCAATTTGTGTGTATTTGCTCTCAGGAGCAGTGCTGAGTTAGCAGATTTTTGTTTCAAGCCACTTTCTTTTTTAATTCCTTTGTCACGGCTGTTAATATCTCTGGGCATTTGTCGAAACAAAATAACCTCAGTCACTATGTTATTTATCGGGTTACACCGCAGAGCGCTTAACAACCCCCAAAGTGCTACACAGGGTTTGAGTCAGTCTGTTCCTGTCAGCGTCCCCAAACGCGTTCTCCCTGACAGATACACACTACGTACCCGTGTAAACACTTAAGATCCATCCCAAGGCTTCCTCCCCTATTTCTTGCTGCAAGGGCAAGAAATAGAGACGCAGAAGCCCAAATCCTTCCGACAAGCGGAACTTCACTAATCCCAGAAGTCACCAACCCAAATGCCTCACAAAAACCTGCAGCTGCCTCGGCTACTCTTATTCCCACATAACCCACATAGGACAAACGCTATTTTTCTTCATTTGCACTGAAAAAAATACATGTGAAATATCTTAGTAACATGTATTTGCAGCAAACGCACCTGCACTGTGAGGGTATGGACTAAGGGTGGTCATAAACCCAATACGACTTCACAGAATCACAGAATCACAGAGTGATGTGGGGTTGGAAGGGACCTCTGGAGATCATCTCCTCCAACCCCCTGCCAGAGCAGGGCCACCCAGAGCAGGTCCCACAGGAACGTGTCCAGGTGGGGTTTGAATGTCTCCAGAGAAGGAGACTCTACCACCTCCCTGGGCAGCCTCTGCCAGGGCTCTGCCACCCTCACAGGGAAGAAGTTCCTCCTCATGTTTAAGTGGAACTTCTTGTGTTAAAGTTTCCTCTTGTCCTGTCCCTGGGAACCACTGAAAACAGACTGGCCCCATCCTCCTCACACCCACCCTTGAAGTATTTATAGGCATTGATGAGATCCCCCCTCAGTCTTCTCCAGACTAAAAAGACCCAAGTCCCTCAGCTTTGGGACTTACACCACCATCACCCCCAATTTAGTTATTTTTCCCCTTTGGCAAAGGGAGGGAATCCCAACCCCCGGCATGAGGGGTCCCTTCCTTGCCTGAGCACGCCGGGCCCTGAGGATGGGACAGCCCGTCCTCCCTGAGCACGGAGCTGACCCACACACCTCGGCACCGCCCGCACAGAGCCGGGCCACAGCTCGTTAACGAAACGCCACCTTTTAAAACGATTTCCTGCCATTTTTCTAGTCGTCAAGGCCGCCTTGGCTCGCTGCGGCCCTGACAGGAGCCGGCAGGGGGCGCTATGGGCGGCCAAGCGCCCGCCAAGATGGCGGCCTGCGGGGCGGCGGGGCCCGCGGGCGGGGGCTGCGGG